CTTCGGACGGAATCTCTATCATATGTTTGTTTCGGCTTATTTTGCAAGCCAATCCTTTGTTTTTGTTTTGAGTTGTGGTATTCGAGTTGCTTCAATGTCAAGTGTTGATTCCATACCTTTCCCAAATGGTGTTCTCATAATCCGACGTGGATACCAATCCTTCTTGATCATCAAGATTGTCTTGTCAATCCTTTTCACCGGCGTGTTTTCTCTTCAAGTGGATTCGATCATTTCAACATCCGCAAGATCCTATCTCAGTTTTTTTTCATCAACGTTGTTTGTTTCATCCGTCTTCAAGTTGTCTTTGTTTTCCCACCCACCCACCCCTTTTTCTTCTAGGACTCAGATTTCTCAATCAAGTACCCATCTTATTGGTTATGAAGTCTCTCCATTCCTTTCCGTCAATGTTCTTACCCGGTGGTTCTCATGAAGATGCTCTACTAGTTCAATATTCTCCATTCTTTTCCGGTGGATCCAATTCAAGCTTTCGGTGTAGATCATATTCTTTTCTGTATTTCAAATGCTTTTCTCGTGCCAGTGCACCTCATAACCATTCATTTCTCGCTATTCATTTGTTCCGGAGTGCTCAAGATATCTCAGAAGGATCGTCTTGTCATTCAAGATCCGTTAATCCTATTTTGAGGATGTTTATCTCATTCAAGCTATTTAACTCAACCGGTGCAACCTCTCTTTCAAATCATTCAACGGTGTTTTATTTGAGTGGGCACTAACCCACAGGTCTTTTCCCAGGATCTTACCTGACTCTTCTTATTCTCCCGGAGTTATTCTCAAATTCATTTCAAGTATGACATAAGAATGAATTGTCATCAGTCATATGTCTTCCTCCAAGATCTTTCAAATTCTTTTCACCGTTGGCTCAACCTTTCTATTCGTCATCCCGGAGTATCTCAACAATTCTTGGTGGTGTTCCTTGTCATCATTCTCGGATTTGAACACCGAAGAAGAATTTCTCTCAATCTTGTTCTTGCCCCTTCAGGATTCATGGTGCTAGCTTTATACCATTCTCTCATAATTATTTTCGGTTGTGAGAATTCTTTTCACCTATCCGGAGCAATTCAGGAGCCTTTTCAGTTTGTTCATCCAGAGCCCATCATCTAAGATTTATTCATCCTCAGCTTTCAGCTATCATTCTCCAAATTTTACCAGTGCTTCGTTCAAGTGATCTTTAATCGGCTCGTGATCTCTTCGTTCTCATGTATCTAAATCCTCTCAAGTATCCTCGTTCATTTCATAATTCTTCCCGGCGTTCCTCTATCTTTCCTTTGGTCATTTTAATTCTGACGGTGGTTCGTTCAAGATTTCTCTTCCTTGTTTATCATATCAATTCATTCGTTGTTCCAAATCCCACCGGCGGTTCCATCAAGTCCTTATCAAGTTATCAATATCTCTCTTAATCTTTTCTACGAGAATAAGTAGTGTGCCAAATCCGTTGCTTGTCATCAATTTAAATTGGTGAAGGATACGCATAACATAATTCTTACTCTTATTTCATCCTTATGTTAATCTTTTCTTCCGGAGTTTGTTCACGATGATTAAATTCTTGGGTTCAAGTGCTCACCCTTCTTTCCCGGAGTTCCAACCTCTTTCAATTATATTATCACGGAGATCCATCTAAATCATTGCAAGGTTCCACCTTGTGTTTTCAATTTCTCTTTCTTTTCATTCCTTTTGTTTACCGGAGTTCTTCATGAAGGTTCTACATGATGGTTCATCAAGGATTTAATTCCTTCTCGAAGTGTTCGTCAAGATTCTTTTCAGAGGAGCTCAAGCATTCTTCATCTGGCAATCCGGAGTGCATTTCTTTCTACCGTATCTTTGGAGGTGGTATTATGCCATTCTTGATAATTTGAGTTCATGTTTCATGATTCACATGTTGTTAAGAATGAGGTATTTTAAATCCATCAATATCGTCATTGGAGTTATCTTGGGTTATATCTCACCTAAAACCTTCCCTAAGGATTGTTGCTATTTATGGTGCTTATAAAGGACCCAAGTTCTTCTTTATCCTCCCGGTGAAATACGTCCTCGTCTCCTTGGTCATACCAATCCAATTTTTTTCCCGTGAGTGGCAGGTTGTCACCTCATAATTTGAGATGTATTCTATAAGACCATATCAAGATTATTCTTTTTCGTTGTTGGTTTTCATTTGCAGTCGGAGTGCTGTCCAAATTATATCATTCTTAATCCTTTTCTATCTTGTTTTTAACCGGAGTGGTTTCAATATTTATCTTGCCCTTCAACCTCAAGGTTTTTCGCAATCTTCTTTGTTTCTCTTTTCTAAAGGAGTGTTTTCGACCTTATTCACCTTCGTTGTGTTCTTTCTCGAATTTGTTCAATCTCGCAAGGTTCCTTGGTTTCACTTGTTTGTCAAAGAAGCAACTTAGTTTTACCTCTTCTCTTTCTCTTCCGTTTTTTCCTCCGGTGCCATTCTAGATCTCGGGACGAGATCCTCTCATAGTGGTGGAGTGTTGTAACGCCCCGAGACCGACGCTCCAGAAGACTTCCAGCTATTCCGAGTTTTGCCGTGTGTTTCTTTTGTGCTTGCTCTTTTACTTTTGCATTGCATCATGTCATCATGCCATCATGTCTTTAACCTTTGCATCTCAACTCAACTAACAAATTGCATAGATGGGTGATCTATTTAAATCGAGGGAAGGGTGACTTCTCTTTATAACATATCGTCCCAATATTAGGGAGCTATATTAAATATTTCTTTAATTTGGAAATCACCATAACACACTTGCATATTATCCCAATGCCTTTGTTATCTTAATTCTTGGTTTCCAACCTTGACATATATTCTTTCATCATATTCCGGAGCTCCACCAAAAATCCGAACATTTTTGGACCTTCCCAACCCTCACTTCCTATTCAAATCATTTGAATTTAAATCAAATGAGTTTGAATTTAAATCTTTCAACCATGGCTTTTTCTATTTTCTTGGAATAAGCACATTTCTGTGAGTCCGGGAAAATTATCTGCGTGTCCAACTTCTTCCCCTAACCCCCCTCTTTCTTTTCTTTCTTAATCTCTGTTTTTTTTCCTTTTTATTTTAGTAAGGAGAGTCAAGCCAGCCAGGCCTTTTTCCCTCTCCACGGGGCCGGCCTCTAATGCCATCCACCGGCCCATCTACTTCCAGCCGCAGCCCACACCCCACCTAACCCTAGGCCCAGCGAACCTCTCCCTCTCGATCTCTCCCAGCGCCGCCAGGGAGACCGCTGCCCGACTCCTTAGCCCCGATCCCCACTCCTTCTCTTCCACCTCGCGCTGCCCCTCTCCTCGCCCTTCCTCGCCCCCGCACGCGAGACCTCCCCGGCCACCGCATCCCTGCTCGCGCCCAGATCCCGTCGCCGTCTGGCCCGTGGAGCCGCCCACTGCTCCGCTTCGCCGCCCGGCGCGCCTCGCCGCCCGGCACGCCTCGCCGCCGACCACGCACCCCGTGCCCGATCCCCTCGAGTCTCCTCTCCGTGCGCGACGGCCCTGCAGACGCCCGCCTCCGTTCGTTGGTGCCCGTCGTCGTGGGATTTTCCCTCGCGCCACCGGCCTCTGCTTCCCTTCTCCAGGCTGCGTCGCCGCCTTTCTGCTCCGCCTCCTCGTCATCGCCTTATCGTCCGAGGACCAGCGTCGCCTCCAGCGCCCACAGGGCCCCTGCGCCTCGTCCTGACCTCGCCTCTTCCACAGCGTAGCCCCGCCATGATCGCTCCCCTGCTGCTGAAAACTCAGTCAATGCATAAAAATGTCCAAACGAACCCCGAAAAATCCCAAAAATTGACAGAACACTCATGTTGTTCTATATTGACACGAGAAAAATTTGAAAGCAATAAGAGGCAATGAATATCGTTTCGTCCCCAAAGGTGGGACGTTCCCTACCGAAACCATCAGGCTTCTTGTGAGAAGTTGTGGTTTGTGAGAAGCATATCGCCAAACCTGCCCCAAATGGGACAAAAAATTTATCACGGCATTTTGATGCCGCTCCATGATAGCATGCCAAGTTTCATGAATTTCAAACGAGTTTTGGATTTACTAGAATTTAAAAATCATGTAGATCAATGTTTGTGGCCGAGTGACCATGGCAGGGTGTTTGACATTCATTCTCATTTCTTACATGGGACCTAAGCATGCAACCAAGGACACAAATTTAAATTTTCAACCAATTTATATGCATTAGAGCATGTGCATGTAGTTCAAATTTGAATTATACACATAAATGCATTGAAAACTCAGTTAATGCATAAAAATGTCCAAACGTACCCCGAAAAATTCCAAAAATTGACACAACACTCCTGTTGTTCTATGTTGACACGAGAAATTTTTTGAAAGCAATAAGAGGCAATGTATATCATTTCGTCCCCAAAGGTGGGACGTTCCCTACCGAAACCATCAGACTTGTTGTGAGAAGCTCTGGTTTGTGAGAATCATATCCCCAAACCTGCCCTAGATGGGACAAAAAATTTACCACGGCATGTTGATGCCACTCCATGATAGCATGCCAAGTTTCATGAATTTCAGACGAGCTTTGGATTTACTAGAATTTAAAAACCAAGTGTCTCAATGTTTGCGGCCGAGTGACAGTGGCAGGGTGTTTGACATTCATTTCCCATTTCTTGCATGGGACCTTAGCATGCAACCAAGGGCACAAATTTGGATTTTCAACCAATTTATATGCATTAGAGCATGTGCATGTAGTTCAAGTTAGAATTATGCACATAAATTCAATTAATGCATAAAAATGTCCAAACAAAGCACACAATTGTTCAAAGTGAATGGTCTGGCGGCACCGCGCGCAAAGTTTCCCTTCACATTTCCAAAATTTTGGCCTACCGCCAAAATATCTACCCTCGCCCCCTTCCCCACCCCCTTTTCTTCCTGACCACAAGTCACATTTTCCCTGCTTCCTCCTTCCTTCCTTCCTTCCTTCCTTCCTAAGCTATAGCCGCTTCCTCGCTCTCGCCGTCTCGCATCCTACCGTCGGGGTCGCCATGGTCTTCTTCAAAGACCTCTCCAGCGGTTCCTCCTCCGGCGTCGACTCCTTCACCACTCGGGTATGTCTCTCTTCTCTCTCTCGGGCTGTGACTTAGAATGAAGGATTTTTACCCGGCGATCGATTTGAGTCATTTCTTCCTCTTGTAGCTCCCTAGGACCATCAGTGGCAACGAATGGAGCGGGGTAGCTGAAGATCTATCCGCTCATTGTCACCATCAATCTCCATGCGTGAAGCTAGTTGCGTTTGAATCAGTGGACAGTGGGAGGAAGTTTCTGGCATGTGCAGAGAAGGTTAGACCCTCTTTCGTTGTTACAAATCATTTGTTAGATGTGATTCAGACACTGTCACGGTCCCAACCCATTCATACCACACCTTCAACCAAACGCATCCTAAGATAGTGTCACAGTTTGAACCTAGTATCTTAAATTGTTGCCATCTCATCAGCGGTGCCATTAGAAAATTATTTGGCACCGCTTCAGCAGTTTGTGCAGCCAACTTTGATCCACACATCCGAGCAGCCAAGTAGTAAAATACTAAATCTTTATGGCACGAAGGAACTGGGCATCAGAGTAACTACGTGCTCCGGAGTCCGGGTCCCTGATTTTTTTCCACTGCATCGGCTCGCCACTGCAGGGCACCGGTGTGAGATGTAGCAACAATTGTCTTTACCCCAGTTTTGGCATATATATAGTGGACGGCCTTAGTGCTATTTGTTCCATGTTACTAAATTTGTGCATGTACACATCTGTTAGTATCACTTTGTTGTCATCCAAACACTGTCACTATGTTGTTGCGGTTATATTTACCTTTCTCATATAATGTTCAGTTTGTTATTTATTGTACATGGGTAAGAACTTGCAGCGTTGTTGTAGTTAATTTTAGTTTATGATGTTCCAGAATTTGGTTCTTGTCTTAGTAGCAATTAATTCATTTGCACATTGATCTTTTTGAGAAGATATGTCATAATTAACATGTTTCTTCAGTTTTTCAAAATAAGCATTGGTGATTTTCTATGTTGCTACAAACTCATTTCCCCTATAATTTTTACTGATCTAGTTTTAAAAATTATAGGATGAACAGAAGTGTTCTTACCTGGAGTGGGTTGATCAAGAGTGGCCACAGTCTTTGAAGATGTGCCTAGCGAAGCTCTGGAGCATGTATGAGGAAGAGAACAGACGTAGGCTTAGAGAAACTATTGTCAACACTGAAGAATATTTGAAGATGCGGGATAAAAAGAGGAAGGTGGAGAATGAGCTCAGGTTTTTTAAATCAGACTTTGCTAAGATGATGTTGGCGAAGGAGGAGGCACTTTCCCAGTTGGCCAGTGCAAAACAAGTTCTTACTGAACTGAAAGCAGAGGTGGAAAGACGAGCCTTGATGATCTCGATTAGGGAAATGAATGTATTGTTCTTATGAAGTTGAACTAGCTATATGTTGTACTCTGCTGTTTTCATGTAGCTATCATACTGTGATGTTATAATATATTTATGTGCCTGATATGAAATTGGCAAACAACTATTCGATATGAAATGTGAATCTGCGTAATACTGGAATTATTAATTGTAAACTAATAAACCTGCTAAATGTGTCATGGACCTTTGCAAATAGTTCTAGCAGTAAAAGCGCTTGTAATGGAGGATAGCCCGATGCCATACAGTTTTCTTCATCAAATCATGTGTGATGTAGTTGATAAAAGCAAATAGTTAACCGAGGCAGGCCGTGTGTGATAGTTACACCTTTCACACACGAGCCTACACATAAAACTGTGTGGGATGTACATATGAACGAAAACATTTTCCCTTGATTGACTATGTGGGATGTACATAAGAATGGAAACGTATTCCTTGGATTGACTGTGTGTGATATACATACCTACGGAAATATTTTTCCGGATTCACCGCGTGTGATGTACATACCTATGAAAATGTTTTTCTGGGATTCACTGTGTAGGATGTACATACCTACGGAAATGTTTTTCTGAGATTCACCGTGTGGGATGTACATACCTACGGAAATGTTTTTCTGCGATTCACCGTGTGGGATGTACATACCTACGGAAATGATTGGGTTTGGATGCCTCGCCCAATCGCACACGGCCCCAGCCTGTGTCCCTGGAGGGCCTATCCCCAACGATTTCTGGATCGTGTGGGAAGGTTCCCCTATCGCCCACACTCACTTGGCGACGGTTCCAAATGCCGTCGCGGAAAGGGGTTAAAAACCGTTTGTATAACACCGACGCGTACTAGTGGTTGTCAGACTACATGGGACTGTTCATACCTATACGGTTAGCCTTCGAGGCTAAGTTACCCGATCTCTTCGGGAAGGTTATGAGCTTGGCTGCCTTGGCTGGCATCTCTCCTTTAAAGGAGTAGTTTGAGAATTATAAAGGGGAACTCGTCTATCGAGCCAAGGACTCCGGATCCGAGGTGGCTCTCGTTACGAGGGTCGTCCTCGGCATAGAAGACTAGTTCAGGGGCTACTGACGGTGTCCTGGATTAGGGGGTGCTAACCTGGTCGGCCCATGCTCCTTGGGTTGGGCCAATGGGCCCTCAGTCGTGATCAAGGTGGACTCCGGAGGCCCTGTGTGGGAGGCGTGATCAAGATTACCTCCACCGAAGACTTGTCGTATACTCCAAGATTTCTCCTGCCGCCCTGCTCCTAGATACCGACCTTGTAACCCTAAATACCCTACCTGGCGTGTATATAAGCCATGGGGTTTAGCCCGTAGAGGGGACATTAACGCAATATCATTCATCTAGCCCTAGAGTTAGACCACATATTACGATCTCGATGTAGATCAACTCTGTACTTAATACATAACCATTAATATAAACAAGAGCATATGTAGGGTTTTACCTCCATCTAGAGGGCCTGAACTTGGGTAAAACACCGTCTCTCTGTTCCTATTACCATCCATCCGAGATCCACAGCTAGGGACCCCCTACCCCGGGGTCTGCCGGTTTTGACACCAACATTAGCAATCCGCCGCACAGTGTTCCTCCTGCACACGCGGACATCGTTAGAGGTGGCGCACTTGCGCCGCTACAGCGAACCTATTACGTGGGATCCAACGATCAGCCATTCGAGAAGATCGGACGGGGAAGAGACACCTCGCGGACGCGCTGCCCCAACTATTCTTCCGCTGCGCGGCACTACGCGGCTAGTGGCAACGATCTGTGATCCATCTCCCTTAGCATGTTTCTGGATGTTCTGCGGGTAGGAAATTTTAATTTGAGGTCGACACACCCTACCATAGATCCCAACACCCCCTACCCTGGATCAGCTGGATTTAGCTCCGACAATCCTAGCACATGGTCTCGCGACATCCTTTATGATGACCGTTTTGCGGATCAGAAGATAGCCAAGATAATTTGAGTGACGTGGCCATTTGGAACTCCAAAAACAATTGGACACACGAGGAGAAGCACCCTGATCCGGGCTACTTTGTGAAGCGTGTTAAGGAAGATCTTTCCATCATTGATATTCCAACACCATTGATTGTTTTGCCAGGGGTATGGATGGTGGCCGCGGGGGATTGAATGGATTAATATTAATATTTATGTTGCTATTGATTCTGAGCAAAACAAAGCGGGTGCTGGTGTTGTTGCTAGATCACCAACAACCCTGGTTGGCGCATAGTGCAAACCCCATAATGGAGTAACTTATCCTACGATTACATAGATGCTTGTTGTAAAGGATGGAGTCATCTTCATGAAGCTCAGGGGATTCACACATGTCGCAGTGGAGACCAATTGTGTGGAGGTAGTTAACCTCTGGAACACTCACGGCGATTCTCATTTGGTCGTGCCACATATTCTTTTAGAAATTGGAGAACTTGTTTTAGCTTTTTTCTTCTTATGTAATTCAACTTGTAAACAGGTCGGCCAATCTTCTGGTTCATCTTTGCACCAAGCAAGCCTACGCGTTGATGATCACCGATAGTTGGCTTGACTCATAACCACCTTTCCTGATCAGCAACTTATTAGCTAACTGTCCCAGGAACTCATTGTGTTGAACAAAGCTCTCAAATTCCCACAAGCAAATGCATAATTAATATTTTTTTAAATTGTTGTATATCCTTGATGTCTACTTGTTTATTACACCTTGTACATTTTATACAACACAAACATTTTTATACACGTTTAACTTTTTGTAAATACATAATTAATAATTTTTTCATATCTATGTTTTGATCTCTATTTTTCATACACGTTATATATCTTTACTAGACCATGACGGCGCGCGTTGCTGCGCCCGTCCATTTGTTCGATATATTGATATTAATTGTGTAAATACATATAGATTTGAGAAATGAAAGTTAAACATATTTTTTTGTGGACAATATAATGTGCAAAATGGATATTATATGTAGGAAAATATAATTATGTTTATATAAGCTATAAGAACATGGGACTGAAAACAACATGACCAAGCAAAGATATTGTACACCAGTGCAGATAATTTGCTCCTCGTACCCAAACACATCTTATTTTGATCATTGCTGCCAGCAACCTCTTCATCCTCTCTGCAGCAAGAGCGGACCCCATGTGCCTTCTCTGAAACCGGTCATGGGCTAGTTCACACAAGATACAAAATGGTTCAATACATGTGAAAAGACGTTGCCTTTGCATGATGCCAGTGTGCCAAATATTCCAAGCTGCAAGAGGATGAATCAGGTCCTCGATGGCTTAACATTTCACAATCATAAATCATTTGCGTTTACTATTTTTCCAATGAATAATATCATCCTCGATGGCTACATATGTTCTCCGTGTGAAGACTTATTTTGGGATGGAAGGAGTACAACATACCAATAGCAGGACATTAAGAATATTAGCTTTGGTCCATATAAAATTAGATATATTTCACATAAATCCACAACCGAAATAAGATAAGGACGATTATCATATATGTTTAGAGGAAGATATAGGAGTGTGTAATACATGAATGAATCCCCTGCATCAATTTGATCCAATTTTTAACAAATAGGTGTAAGATTTCAGTCATATATGAAGTCAAATTTTCATGGTGGGATGTAGGTTTTCTTGTCGCATTCAACATAATGATGAGAAAACTTGTGTGCATGCAAAGTAGGCCGATCATCATAAGTAAGCTGCAATTTGATATAAGATACAGTGATAGCTCAACAAAATCTTACCATTTCAAGCTGCATGCAGCTTGTCTGGATGCTCATAAAATTTCTGAAAAAGTGAAGCGATTTTTTGAAATTTAGCATAAATAGCTTTCAAAATGCACCTGTAGATGTGCAAAAAGGAGAGGTTAGAAACAAAACAAAATAATAACACAGGTCTACTTTTGAGCATCATCTATATGTTTAGTGCCACTGAAAGTGAAGCCCCCCTGCAGACAACTTTTACAGTACGGTAGAAATGAGGTAAATGCCAAAAATAAACAGTGTTATATTTGATTTTGATAATGTTAGAAGATTATGTGTATAATTTATATTATATTTGTCAAGAATACATATAACAGCAGTTTATGTAATTTCCTAAATTGAGTGAAAGAGTAGTTTACGCGCAAGTACCAAATTGACCTTCACAGCTCACCAAGACCTTCCAGTCAAAGAAAAGAAGCTTATTAATATGTAGCAAATACTAACTAAACTTATTAAGATCTCGAAGCCAACAAGCACAACTTGCTATGTTGATAAGCATTTTGTTCAATAACCATGGACAAAGCTACAAGACGGCACACAAAAAAACGCAGCAACATGATGCTCGTTTAGTATCCATACCTTATACCCATGATACTCATCAACTGTCACATAGGCAGTGTCATTGCTTAGGCATCATCCCTATTCTTCCACAAGAAATAAATATGACGATCCACTGTATCTTCTCATTTTTATATTTCATTTCTAGTACGTAATATTGTGTCGTCGTCCATCTTTCAAAGTTCCGGTTGTTAATTCTGCATCATCAGGTGTGGCAAACTGGAGTCAACAAAAACTCTGAATCATTTATAGTCTCAGTGTTATCACAATCTTCCCTGCCAAAGAATCATAATTGTTAAAAGCAAAACATATGTTTATAAATTCTACTATGATAGAAATGCACATGAGAGAAATGATGCTAGCAGTTTGGGAAATCTAGAGGCACCAAAACGACTGCACTTTCAGGAACAACATGGCATCTATGCGAGACGTGCTGCAGGCCATTAGACGGGGCATCGATCTATGGAGGCAGGCCGGAGCAACATGTTTGCTGCACCCGTTCACTTTGCTGCCAGAGGGGATCGGCTGAAGCCTCTCCTCTGCTCCCTTTTCCTTTTTTCCGTAGCAATAGTCTTGTCTCTTTTATCTGTTCTCTGATCATAGGATCAGCACTATGTATTCTTTTATCCACTGCTCTCTGCTATGGGTAATATGAAAAAGCCAGTAATGTTGGATCTTTCAAAAAAAGAAAGGAACTTGATTGTGCCCCAATACATAGTTTTCATCTCTTCATTAGAATAGTAAAAGACAATACGTATGCATGAGCTGAATTAGATCGATCAATTAATGCTAATTGTCATGTTTCGCTCACCTGTATGGAAAGAACATCGACATCATTCATAAATTAAAAAAAGGACCGCTTGGGAAAATTCAATCATATCTAGAGAAGAGATCTCAGTACAGAACCAACCTTGGTTTCTTTGGACAGATTCTTAGTGCAGGGATGAATCTCTTCCAGTCTCTTATCTCTTAAACGATGATCTAAAGAAATATCAACACATGAGAACATCCCATAAACAGGGATGGAAAGGAGGGGAGGGGGAGGGGCGTTCAAAAGGGACTCACCAGTACAAACCACGGCCAGATCTGGGCTCTGACAGGCAAAGAAGACACTGTATCCATGAAAGGAAGGACGTGGAAACATAATGGGCTCCTCGCCGCTGTCGCTGCAAGGAACGTCTAGGGATGCATCCTACACTGCATTCTCGTCTCCACCTAAGTAGCATCAGGAGGAATGTAGGGAAGGTAAGATGATTTCACCTCCAACACAAGAAGGAAGAAGTTGATTTTACCTGGAATCTCTACAAAGCGTAAGGCAGACGGGAGGGAGATGTCGTGACGCCTCGGGTACGCGTATAGCGTCGCGGCGGCGAGCGGACCTAGGGCAGACGCCGTCGGAGAGGTCGCGACTTGCGAGAGAAGAGAGAAAAGTACAGAGGAATCGTGCGGCGTCGCTTGGTTCGCCTTCTCTAGAAAGGCCGAGGTTGGCCCAGTTAACCAGAGAGTCTCAATTTTGTTACGGGAGCGGCGACCCGTTTCATTCGCGGAAACTGTTGCGCTTGGAGATTTATCCAACGGCCAAAAATTGATACTTGTATAGATCCGACGATCAAAAATACTGATGGCCTTAGAGGGCTCGAAGAGTGCTCGGTTGTAATGTCTTTAAATATATACACTCGGAACATTTTTTATACATGTTTACATTTTTCAAATGCCCGATTAACATTTTTACAAACACATGTTTCTGAACATTGTTGTTCGAACATGTGTTAATTTTTTTAATACGTCCTGAGACATTTTTTGAAATGCTATCAGCATTTTCTAAAAGCTGCACCACCATATTTTTAACGCTGCACACACATTTTTTTTCAAAATTAAGTATTTTTTTGAAATATATGTATTATATTTTTTTGAAATATAGAAAAACAAAACAAAAATGCAAAACAAAATAAAAAACGAAATCCAGGAACGTACTAAGGAAGCGAGCGGACGCTTCTGGCGTTGACTAGGAGGTCTCAATGAAAAATGTACTTTTTTTGACATGGGCCAACTATGTAGCGTCGTCTGTACTTTTTTTTTAGAAGTTGCGTCCTGTCTGCTCATTTGGGCTTGGTGACGAAGGCCGACTAGACCGCGCGCTTTAGCCCATGGTGCACCTTTGGACCATTCGCGGCCCACCTGTGAGTAAACCCTAAGCCCGGATGCCTTCCTATTTAATCTCGACCCCCCTTAGGGTTCCCCTCCTTCCTCCTTGCGAGACCAAACCAAAGCTGCGGCGGCGCGCGCATAGGAGGCGAATCAGCAGCGGAACCAAGCCGCCGACGCCACCATGGGTAAGCTCCGCCGATGTACTATTCGTTGTTCCCTCGGAGGCTGCCTGGTTTGCACGATGCTTATTGCCGCCATGGTGGCTCTGCAGGTATCTCGCGTGACTCCATGCACAAGCGCCGGGCCACCGGTGGGAAGCAGAAGGCTTGGAGGAAGAAGCGAAAGTAAGAGCGAATCCCCTCCCTTTCCCCCTTCCCTTACGGTTCGTGAAGATGTGTGGATGTTCTACGTAGGTTAGATCCGTGTTTACTTAGATCAGGCGTGGATAAATTGTCGTTGCTGCGGTGGATATCTGGGTTTATCCGACGCGTCTGTACTCTTTAGGATGATAGCTCGGTAACTAGCATTTTCTAGATCTCGTATGATAGCTTGGTGGTAACTAGCCTGGTAATTACGCGAGTAGCGCGGGTATTCCGCTTTCTGGTGACTTGATAACCTTATCCGTTTACGCACATCTATGGTTTTGGCTACATGCGAACTTCTGATGTGTTCATGTTAATTTGCTGTAACTAATGTGAACTTGATGTTGGCAATATAACCGGGTCCATCACTCATTTTTGTAGTGATGCTGCTGTTTCGATGGTTGTTTTGAAGTACAAGTTTTGTGATTCAGTATTCTTGCTTCAGAATGTCCAGAGCGTCATACTTACAATATTCTGTGTTCAGACATGATGTTGTCTATACGTAAACATGTTTTTATTTTGTATTCTGGGAGTTATTCTTAGCCATGTCCGCACTTGGTTCTGTTTCATTTTGGAAAATGCAAATTTGAACAAATGTACTGATCAACTCTTAGGCTGTTTGATTCCTTTCAAGAACTTTACACTGTTATGAATCTTACTTTGTCCTTCATCTTTTATCAGGTATGAGCTCGGCCGCCAGCCAGCCAACACTAAGCTTTCAAGCAACAAGACAGTGAGGAGGGTCCGTGTTCGCGGAGGTAACGTGAAGTGGAGGGCTCTCCGTCTTGACACTGGTAACTTCTCATGGGGTAGTGAGGCTGTGACCCGCAAGACCCGTCTCCTGGATGTGGTTTACAATTCGTCAAACAATGAGCTTGTGAGGACTCAGACCCTTGTCAAGAATGCCATTGTGCAAGTTGATGCTGCCCCCTTCAAGCAGTGGTACCTGACTCATTATGGAGTCGAAATCGGTAGGAAGAAGAAAGCTGCTGCAGCTGCCAAGAAGGAACCTGCTGAGGTATTATTCCTGTTTCTGTATTTCAATTCTGTATCCTGAGGTTGGTAATTATTGTATAGCTTGTTTAGGATGTGCTACTTAGTTGAAATGATTTGGATTTCAATTCTGTATTCTGATCAACTCTTATTTGTAGTTGTAGCACAAGTACCAATTCTTTTTTATTCTGATTGCATGCATTAGTATCCTTTCATCCTGGACTGTTAGTAGTTCCAACTTTTATCCAGCCTCCTTGCTCATTGTATTTCATTCATGAATAAATTCCTTAAATTGGTCTTTGTAGATACAAACTTTAATGTTTTGAACATCTTATTTTAATGGTTGCATTTTGCCAGTAAGGCCCCTAGTTTGTATTATGCCCTTTTCCCCTTGGATTGTATCCAATCCCTGACCCAGTCTTATCCCTGTTCACTGCTTATGTTTGCTTTGTGTGATTTTCTTATGCACAGGGGCAAGAGGCTGAGGTTGCTGCTGCTGCCACAGAGGAAGCAAAGAAGAGCAACAATGTCCAGAGGAAGCTTGAGAAGCGCCAGCAGGGACGTACACTGGACTCGCACATTGAGGAGCAGTTCAGTGGTGGAAGGCTGCTGGCCTGCATTTCGTCTCGCCCTGGACAGTGTGGCAGAGCTGATGGGTAAGCATCACAGTTCATCTGTTCATCACCCCTTGTATATTAAATTCTGGAAGAACATAAAGCAGTACTCTACAATTTCTTGTTAGCTATGGTGTTAATACTTGTGTCTTGAAACTACAGGTACATCCTGGAGGGCAAGGAGCTGGAGTTCTACATGAGGAAGCTCCAGAAGAAGAAGGGCAAGGGTGCCACAGCTTAGGCTGAAGAGCTGCTGCATGTTACTCGTTGGATTTTCTTAGATGTTGCGTCCATGTCATGTTTGCAGACATACTGAACACCATTTTCTGTAAACGGTTCGAGTCCTAGGTTGAACTGAGAATGTTTTGCCTGTTTTGGTTGTGATCTAAAGCTATCCAGATTCTATTATGTGTTCTACCTTGCAGTATTTTCATCTGTTCAGTGAAGTTTTGATCTTGAGTCTCCATGTTGATTTGCTGCCAGCTTTGCCTTTCAGGCATGTTAGATTTGTATGGTTCCTGCAGTTGCAAAGGACCCATCCAGTGTGAAAACCCGATCATGTATGCAAAGCAATTTTGATCATGGAATCTTTGCACAATTGTTGGCTATTTTTCTTTCTGGAGATAGACGATGACTAGCCGCGACCCCAGCCTGTGCTAATTCTCGGTAGTGTAGGCGCTTTGCGCGGCTCTCCATGCCTTTGTATTCGGTGGTTTTCATTTTCTGTTACTGGATTTCTCGCTGCCTCTGGAGTCTGTCAAAAGTGTTACACCTATTAAATCCTGTTGTCAGAGCTTTGGTTGTTCATGTGTCAAGCCTTGTGTGCCCATTCTTTTTGAAGGTGGTTGAGAGAAACACTTGAGAAGAACTATCACTGAAGGAAGATAGCTATGGAGGGGAGATCTAGAGAGGTAGTCTTCTCCAAATTATTAGAGATGGAAGTCTTGAATCCTTGATGGATCTTCTCCAAAGGAGGCCATTTCCAATTAAGTTATCGATGAGCAAAGCCAAGTAATTCTATTATGCTTTCATAACACAAAAAAAAAAAGAGGTGCACGAAATATAGTCTAAGAACAAAAAGGCATGGGCTATGGCTTGAGCCCCGAAACTGCGTGCATTAGTGCTACCGCACCAAAGTAGAGTATTTTCTGGGAGCTCCAGCGACTGACCGGACAGTTTCGTGTCTTGTCCGTCCAGGGAAGATGGGTCGCGCACGCATGGTTAGGTGTGGCTAAGGTTACATGCAAGAGAGAAAGAAAAGAAGCTGAATTTTTTTTACACGGATATCTTAAGGATATAGCATGACTCAGACTTAGTAAGTTGTCTGAGACTTAGCAATGACCGGATAGTCTCAGTCCGGGGGGGCAGGCCTGATCTGTCAATACATCCTTTATAGGAGTTGATCTGTCAATACATCCTTTATAGGAATAATATGTGAATTATACAATGTCATCTTGTTTAACCACACATTATTTATATGAATTATGCAATGTCATTCCATTTAGTCAGACATCATATATGTGAATTATGTGGTATCATCTTTTTTTTCCATTACATATTTCATTTGATAACAATTTTGTATTTTTAATTACTCTTCCTGTGTATCAACCATTTGAATGGGCAATGGAAAAATCTGAAGTGAAAAGAAGGTCTTTAGAGCAGACAATGATACCTGTCGAAGCAGATGTTTGGCCGGTTACAGATAGCTCATCAGAGTAGTATTCAGAGATAGATGACCAGTCCTATTCCCCC